ATATATATACATATATATGCGTGTTCGACACTTAAAATTTCATCCACTCGCCCATGCAGCTACTAATAAAGTGGCTTCAAGATTGCCTGAGACTCTTCAAACTGACCTAGCGATACATGCACCTCCTGAACATCACCAATCTATCCACACGAGTGAGCATTCAAAGTTCCAATTCCAGAGGCGCAACACACCTGTTCAGGTAAATCATCGATAACACTTCACGTACTTTTTTTTATACCAAAACTTTCTCAAAATCATTATAACCCCATTTCTAATATTAATCGATGATAATTGAAAACAAGAATCGACATAGAACTTTGGACTTGTTATAGATCTTCCTTGAGCAACATTTACAATCAGTGTCGTACTTTCCATCAGCAGAATATCATCTAATTAAGATAAATAGAACAAGTCACTTTCAAAGATCTTCATTAGTAAAATCATGATTTCGGGCTTAAATCAAGCTCGAATTGCAGCGTTTCTTCGCGGAAAGATCTTAGAATATGATTTCTTATCGATTTGGATCTTCGTAGATCTTTCATATTTGTGTCAGGATGCAGAACCGTGGGTTCCATTGTGCTTCCGCTTTGCCCCATCAGTATCCTTTATTTTTCCGTTTTGGATGTAAAGGTTTCCGCTGGCAATCCTAATTTCCTCCTCCCTGTTCCTCTAGGATCATTGTATGTTCCTTAGAGTTTCCTATGACTAGATTTGGAAGAAGTTAAGGGTTCAGGGAACGGTTTTTCCCCCGGTGGAATACTGCTTCCACTTCCTATTGTTTTTTCTGCAGGATCAGGCGGGAAAGATTAGGGAACCGGTGGGAAATCACTGGAAGGAAGCCGTTTCCAGACTGGTTCCGGAAGGATCTGGAGATCGGAATCATCGACCTGGGAAATTCATTATATTACTCTCTTTCGTATAACTACAATGAAATACAGTTCTAGATAGAAAGTTTTCTTGATGTTGAATTTTCGTCTGTTCAACTTGCTTCGGACCTCTATACAAACTAAGTAATCAGATAAAGAATTTAATATTGCCACAATATTCATTATGTCATCCAACTTATCATTGAAGATATATAGAAGTTAGCATTTTGCCCAGTACCATTGTATAATTGATTGTAGTGAGAATTCTGTATGATACCGTGTGAATCCATATCAATTAATGTAGCCGCTTAGTTATCATGATGACTCTGATAATATTCAAATCATGTGTGATATATATATGACATGTCTGTATTTTGAAGATTTCTTCTTTAAATAATTATCTTGTTCATAGTTTTAATCAAACTTAAGGAAATTACATAATTAGTTGCAACTCAAATTATGATTCATACCATTTTAATCAGTTTTTCTAAATATTGTTAAAATTTAATATGAAATTATCAATATAATCACAGCTTTAAGACTAGATATTCTTGTCTGTGTTGGTGTCAAGATTAATGCGCAAATATTTGTTCTAGTATGTTGAATGTTTCAGTAGATGATCATGCGAATCTAGTTGTTGCATATTATCAATTGAGATGATCACGTATATAGTTAGTACATCTTTCTATTGAATGTATGGTACATGATGTATTAAAATAGATTAAATCATTCATATGAAATATTTTATGATTATGTTCTATACGTCATATTAGTGGTGTGAGCTTGAACATAGAAAGTTAGACAGTGAAATGTTCTCAAGAAGAAAGTTCCGCAATTGATTTCCTATTTTTGACTCGTTCTTTTCGTCATAGGTAGGACTTGAAAAGCTAAGGGAAATAAAAACACTGTTTATAAATATAAACCTGTTGATAGAAAAAAGCAATTTTTTATTCTATTTTTTGCTCTGAAATGAGACGATCACAATCAAATTCAACTGAGGATATCACAATCTAAAATCATATCCATAAAAAAGAATATAATGATTTCGGACGTCTTTTCAAATATTCTACTCGACTCAATAGTTCTTTTTCGAAATAATCAATTTTAGGATAGCTACGTCGCCAACAACTATTTCTTATAAGGGATCATTATCTAAATATGCAACATCACAAAGAAAAAGGAAGCATCTATTTTGATTAAAAATGTTCTTGGACGTTAGAAGTAATATATTTAATTTGCAAATAGATAGAAGTGAAATCAACATTTCTTTACTAAAAACTTTATTGCTGATCTCACTTTACCAAGTTGAATATTCGGTAAGAGAACTTAAAGTTTCAATCAACAAGTCATGAGTACGAATGTTTATAGATTTTTTCTTAATTCGATTTGATTCATACCGATGAAAAATAAAAATATCGTTTCAAATTAAAAATCAATTAAGATACTTTCCTTTTCAAATTTACTTTTAACAGCGAAACATGTAATCAATGCAAGTATGAAAACTAGAATTCTTCACCAATAATTAACTTATTCACCAGTAAATTATTTACATAAAAAGAAAAACATAAGCTTCCAAAATAAAGAAAGCTAGCAAATTTTACGAAGTATCAAAACCTCAAATTGTTTTTATAAAAAAATCTATTCCTTAGGTAACGATAAATTTTAAAAGTGAATTTTAAAATGATTGGAAAAAAACACATCAATCCTGAGGAATAAAATGACGAATGCATTTGTCACTGGGTTCGAATAAATCTTTAACGAATAAATCAATGTGAATCAAAATATGAAAATAGAAAATGGTGAAACACTGCATTTAACATTACGTAAAATATATGAATAGATTCTAAATAGAGTGTTATCTTGATGATATATTCAAAAAAATTGATTACAGTTGTTTTGTTTCTGCAGTACAATTATTAAATTTATCTAATCGATTCGAGTTCTTTTTAAATCTTTAATTGTGTTTTCTTTGCAGAATTCTTTGTTTATATTTCAAGGTCACCAAATATTTAATAGATTTATTATTGGACATGATGTAGTGCTCCATCTTAACTTAAATAGCTTGTTATTCAGTCAATATTTATTAATATTGAACGAACGTTTGTTGCGTGATATTTCTATAAACTGACTTATATTGTTATTCTACGGAAACCTTGAATTTATGAATTATACCATGTAAGAAGAAAATCTCGAATGCATGTTCTTTAATCTACTAGCTTCGCTTCATTTTATGAAACAATCTTCAAAAATTATATTCCGTACAACATTACATTCAAACATTTAGATATGATATCCATAAAATCGACCTTAAATTTATGTTGTTTTTTTTTCTTTTTGATAGAATATTGAACTCATTAAATTCTTTAATATATTATTAAAAAAAAACATCAGGACAACAATAATTAAACTTCATGTGTTGTCGCACTTGAATATGTTTGCATGATCACAACAGGACATCAGAAATTTAAAAAAAATATTTCTCCATAAATAATTATAGTCTATCGTTAAATTGAATTATTCTTTTTTCACTACTAATGGAATTGTAATGAGAATAGTCGTTAGTAATATTCATGTTGTTTTCAAAAAAAAAATGCTATTAGCTTTACACATCATCATCGTTACTGATATTATAGATTAATAAATTTCAATTGAAATATGAAAAAAATTTAATCCAACGTAGACAAGGTCAATATAAATTGAGTTTTTGCAATAATAGTTAAATATTGATCATAACAAAAATTGCAAAGTCTTCGTTTTAAAATCGATTTTTCTTTGTCTCTCTATAATCAATGAAAAGAAAATGTATTGTAAATTAAGTCGATTTTTTTCCCTATTGAATATTTGACCTGGATTAACGAACTGTTAAAATTTATCGTCTAGATAACAATTGACTTTCATATTCTTTTTTTTTTGTTTCCGTATCTATTGCAATATTTGAAATATTCCTAGTATTCACTAGATTCAATTTCAATTTTGAATCTAAATAGATTGTATACATGGGAAGCAATTAAAATGCTTTTTTTCGCTTATGTTTTTTTTAGATTTTACTTTCTGCTTTTCAAATGTCGACAACATTATCAATAACTCTGATGTTGTTCTATAAAAAAATCTAAAAAAGAAAAAGAGAAATAGACCGTATATGCGTGTGTGTGTGTGTGTGTGTTATTACACTGTTAAAGAAAGACGAGAAAGAAAAAACAGACTGATGTAACGAGTCGGACTATAAAAAGATAGAAAAAAAATAGTTGAAAACACCACAACAATAACAACAGCGTTGTCTGACTTTTACGAGGTAAGATAAAAAAATACAAAGTAGAAAGAAGAAAAACTAGTTCATGACTATGTTTTGCACGCATATTATTAAGAAAAAAATATCCGATTGAATGTAGCATGATATAAAAGAAATAAAATTGAGTAGTTCAACATAAAATTGTTCTCTACACTTATTAAAAGATGTTATTGTTGACATTGTATAGATTATTTTATTTAACATTTTCTTGATAAACAAACGGTAAGTTAAGCTAAAATATCGATTCCTTTTGTAAGTCAGTTTAATCAACTTTAGTTATAAATCGTTCTATTAAAACTATTAGCGAGTTAGTTTTTTCTTTTTTTATAATAGGATTTTGAAGGAAAAAATGTTTGTATTTGTTGTAACTTAAAAGAACTCTTTGTTTTTTTACCATTAACCATATGCAATACAACGGTATTAAATCGATTTGCGGTTAGTATCAAAAAGTAACATTCTGTTATTCTTCACTCATTCTTTGTTTCTCTCTTTAAATGTATTAAATTTCGCTTTCTTATACAAACGATTACGAATGCCAGACATATTGCAATAGGAGAATTTCAGTATTGATGTTGTTCAAATAGCGGTTCGTATATGCGCCTCTAGTCAGTTATTTCGATTATTTTTCTTTTGCAGTTAAGTATGAGTGAGGATCGAACAAATTCCTTGAAGTCTTACTCATAGAACAAAAGAAAAAGAAATAAATCACGAAGAAAAAATAATCTTTTGTATAACAATCATTCAGCATTTTTTTATTTCTTAATTTTTCTTTTTGAACATACTTCCAGATGTTGTCATAAGCGCTCATTCAAGTGGGAAGATAATTCTCACATTGGCTATCTAAAATGCAGACACAATTAAATACACTCGACACAACAGAACCCATCGATTATGATAATTTAAAGATAATTACAAAGCCACGACCACCACGCCGTCGTCAAAGTGGCGCTTCATTGGTACCATTTCGACCGTATGTTAAACGTTTAACTAGTGTACGACAACCATTCTCCTTTACAAATGGTTATGATCGATGGATGTTGATGGGTCGAGATGAAATATTTTTTACACAATCAAATGCTCGGTGTATCGGCTCATTGATTGAGGATTGTGATGTATCAGATGTTATCCGATGGGATATCGAAGCAGAATCAACTCGTTTACCAATGATGTGTAAATTATGGATGATTGGTTAGTGTAAAAATTTAATTTTAAGAAAAATAGAAAACAAAAAGCTCTTTCTAATTTTCTATAGTTGATGGAGCTGTTGCTGAACGAGGAAAGGCACATTTAGTTCAAGATGCAGCTGTACAAGTATTAACACAAGGTCGTAATCTTCGTGCATTATTATCTCTACAACAACGTTATAATTCGACATCAATAAAAACAACATCCGATCGACGTCGTCGCCAATCGTGGCATGATGTTAATGAATATCACAGTGTACCTTACTATCAATATACTCGTGCTGTTCAAATGGGATTTCAACGATATATTCAATGTAATATGGACGATGAACATTTTGCAACAAGTCGACAAGAAATTCTTCCCGAAGTCGAAGAAGAAACAGTTGATGAAAATCCAATTAAAATTATTAAAAAAGAAATAGTTCATGAAACAGTACATCATTCAGTAATACCACAATATCGTGTTCGTATATCTATTAAGACGCAAACACAGTAAGAAATGTTTTTTTTTCTTTTGAAAAAAATTGAAACGATGCTGATTTTCGTAGACCTCAATCAATTGATCGTTCAACATCAATTGATTCACAATTGATTCAAATGGGTAATCTTAATTCAGAAAAAAATGAAATAATTTTATCATCAATTGCTAATCCATATCGTCGTGTCGTATCTTCAAATTATTCTTCAGAAATAATATCAATTTATCGTCATGATATTGAATATAAACATCGAGCAGTATCCACTGGTGATGATTATCCTCATGGATGGCTTCGACTCAATACTGATTTTATTTTATCAGACTTTAGTAAAAATCAGAATGTGGAGAAGGAGCAGTATTTACCTCCTCCTTCTCCTCGACACAATCAAAGTGTACAAACAGATGTCACCGAGTCAAAGGTATCATCATCATCATCATCATCATCATCATCATTGTCGAGATCAATACGTATTCAAAATTATTCATCTTCAGCAACAACAAGTAATCATTATGAACTTATTGATGAAATTGATGATGGAAATAATGCACAACGATCTTTACCATTTGTCATTACTAATAAAAAGGTAGGATAATATAATTATTTCTTCCTCTTCTTCTTCTTCTTCTTACATATGGATTATTTTCCAGGTTGATTCTTATAATGATGTAGATTATCGTTTTAACAGTTATGATATAGAAAAATCCTCTGCTCATGATGATACAAATATTAATAAACAATCCATATCATCAAAAAAGTCGGAAAATGATTATAATATATTTGTTTCATCGTTAAATCATCAACAGCAACCATCATATTCAACACCTGACCCAAGAAGTAATCCATCAATATGTCATTGTTTTTCCAATGACACTACTCGAACACTGACAAAAAGCTCCGATAGTACATCAACAACATTATTAGCAAGTTTACTTGAACGCTATGAAAGAACATTACGTGAACGACAAAGAGCATTTGCTATTGTTAATGATGAATTATTAGATATTGATGACGTATTAAAACGTTATAGACAAAAAGTACAGAATTTATCATCGACACAAACAAATATGGTCAGTAAATTTTCTCACTATTTTTTTTATAGCTATGTTATGCATTGAAAAGAAACAAGAAGACATGAAAGAGAAAGAAACCCTTCACTTTTTCGACCTTGTCAGGGTTTTATATTTCAATTCAATTTTTTTTATATGAAAATTAATTTCTTCTTCCAGTGTCAATCTAGAGTGTCTGTCTCTTGGAGTTTTTCACACCTTGTGCATTTTCTTTTTTTTTAAATATATTTAATCAGGCTATGGAGCTTCGTCGAGATATTTCTCTACTGTCGACAAAATCAAAAGCAGACCAATCATCATCAACAACAACAACAACAACAACAAATAATAATATAGTAAAAGATAAATATCGATCAATGCCTGGATTAACAAGTGAAGATATGATTAAAGCATACAAACCAATACCAAAAGTTCATATTACAAATTCTTCAACAGCTCTATTAAAAGCACGACAACCTCATTTTCAAGTTCCATCAACAATAAGAGCACGATCAGATTATTGCGATTTATGTTTAACAGGTTATAATACAAATTCAGCATGGATTAGATATAATGAAAGAAGAATTGAAGAATTACAAAAACGAATTGATTTAATGCTACAAATTGATGATAATGAAGAAACTAAATTATTATTACCATCATCATCTCGTATTTCAACAACTGCTACAGTTACACAACGCATCGATGATATTCTTTGGAGCAGATCAAGACACCCTAGCCGACGTCTCTATGATTACTATCGATTTAGTAAGTTTCTAGCTTCATTTTTTTGCTATAACTTGTTAGTCATCATTAAAAAGCATCTGTTAATCTTCAACAAAAAAAACGCACATGCCAAGGTTTATTTTCTAAAAACAAATACTCAGTTTATTTTGAAAAACAATATGTGTTTCTCTATGACAAGACAAACACTTCTGACTATATTATCTTTTGTAATTTTACAGTACAAAGAGTATTTGTACAATAAAAACGATGACTGTAAATATAAACTATTATTTTATTAGTATCGCCTCATCGTTATCAACATCGTTTACCACATCGATTTAATCAATCATTACAAAATTCACCTCGTCTACTCAGTCGAAGTACTGCGCGTTCAATAACACCAGTACGAAAATCTGTTCGAATATCCACTCAATCAGTTCCACCACACACTGTTCATCGTCGATCAAGATCTGCTTCTCGGCCAATTGTATCAATATTACGTCCTAGTAGTGTATTAACTGAACCTAAATCGAATAAATTCGCTGAATCATCACACGTTTGGAGAACTGCAGTCGATGGGAAAATGTATGCTCTTCAACAATTCAGTATTCCAAGATATTATCGATTGTACAACGATGTTAGTTTTAGAGAAATGTATCATTTTTCACGTATGCTTGATACATATTTGGATTCAAATCGGGCATCGACTAAAGATTATTCCTCGTTGGTTAAAAATTTTGCATTTGAACAAGAATTACTGTCTCCAGTAACAAGCATTGCATAAATATTTACAAACAGATTCCTACTCTTTCCCATGAACTAATTTATATGTTCTTTCCTTTGAAACAAGACAGTTGTATTTTTTTAGGCATTGAGATACACCTATATATACATTTTAACCGATTGTGAAAATTATTTATGGTGTTATTTAAAGTTGCTTCGCTTTTCATTCCTTTGCTTTTATATTAAAAATAGAAAACAAAACAATTTTTTTTTCTCGTTAAATATTCAATTCAACCACAAGAACAACTTCAAATTGACGTTCGCTCTCATTCGTGTCACAATGTTTGCTATGTAATATATTTTTACCATTAGAACCATTTAGCATTGAAGTCAAAATGTAATAAATTTGAATAGCTTTGTTTTTTTTTGTGAGAGACTCTCTAAAATTTTTAGACTATTAGAATACTTATTGGTAACAATTATTAAATATATTGAAAAGCAATCATGCTCATAATTATTTTAGTCTTTCATTTGTATTGAGATATACATGCTTTCACATGATGAAAGAGTTCTGCGCCATTGTAATTATGTAGATCAAAAGTTGTTTAGTGGTACAAAAGACATGCAGAAATCTATTTAATATTCTCCAGACGCATTTCTTATTAACTAATGAATTGCAAACAAAAGGAAGAAAATAGAAATTTCTTGCCTAAATTATTCGATCGAATTTCAACTTTCAAGTGACAGGATAAATACAGAAATTGATTCATGTATTGCATTCAGATGTATTCCATTTATTCTAGAATCGAAATGAACATGACTCACTGGTATGATTAATATGTCGTAATCAAGAAAGAAACTTCTAAAGTAATAAATAGTAAAATTCGATCAAGTTTATTTTGATAAAGTTAGAAACCAGAAAAGTGTCGAAAAAAAATTAAGAACATGGGGCATCTCGTAGAATCTAATGCTTCTATCCAATTTTAGAGACTTACTCGTGAACAGAATACAGAAAAGTATAACGTATCAAATGCATAGCTATGAATAACGAATTATTTCTAAGTTTATTTTTCCAATAAATGAATTCATACTATATTCATGTAGTCATATTTTATTAAGTGTAACTTTGATTTTGTGGTTCATCTCGTTTTACATCATCATTTGTTGCAAGAACAAGAAAATCTATTGGATTTACCACAAAATACATAAAATAACCTTCATAGATAAACTCATATATTTTGAAACTAATATTTTCGATAAACTTATGGAAATTCATAACAATTAAGTACACATTGAAATTGACTATGAAATAAGAACAAAATTCTGAAGAGAAGAAGCAATCGGCATTGAAATTACAATTTCTTTTCTAAAGATATAATAGTAAAAATTCAAACATCTGTAAGATTTTACTTTCAATGGTAGAAATATGTTAGTAGCTCAGGTGTGCTAAATCAAGACAAACAGACGTAATAATTCTGTTTAAAAGGTGTTTGTAAGTGAAAGTATACAGTCTCATGTGGCCCGATGCACTTGAAAGTTGCAATATGAAATTCAAATAACATGGTCAAAGAAGTTAATTAAAAGAACTTCTCGGTTTTCAACTTGCATTTTTCGCTAACAAAAAATCTATTGGTCTAATCAACAAAATTAAATACTCTGTTTGAAAAAAAAGCAACCATACTTTTGTAGCATAACAGCTTTCTTATTCTGAAAAAAGTTTCATCTCTTATTCGATGCACAAATTTCAATTTGATGTTTCCCCATGTGGAAAACAAAAGAGCATATTCTTAATAATTGATGGTTGTTTTCTTTAACTTTAAATAAAGTATTCTAAAGATCCAATTACCACAAATTTTCAAAAAGATATTGTTTTTCAAGCATATTTATCAACTAGAATGAAATTTCTGGAAGCATCTATTGACTGGAAAATATTTATATGAAAGCAAAGATTTCGATCAATAGAAGTGAATTCATAGATCACTTTTGTCATTGTCAATTGTCTATTGAAGGCTATGACATCAACTTTACAAAATATTTTTCAAAATCTAAAAAATGTTCCTGACATCTAACTAGTATTTTTAGATTTTACAATTGAAAAATTAAAGTGAGAAGCTAAAGAGCGTGAAGAATTCTGAATAGTTCAATGCTTTCGTCATACTATTTCTTTTCCCCATAGGATATCAACGTTTAGATTAAAAAAAGTGAAATTTGTCCGTAGTAAACAATCTGTTCATTCTCTATAATTGTACAATAATGAAAAAATGTACTGATTTTGACATTAAATAAAATCTATTTTTATACGGATATATTAATATTAATTATCGAAATTAAAACTCCATACAATGAGATTTGAAGAATCATAATTATATTCACTTGTATGTTTTTGTCGTCAAAATATTTACAAGATCATCTATTCCACCATAACTTGAAACTGATATCATTACTTTTTTCATGATAATATTCTTTTCTAATAGCTAAAGACATGATTTGCCCTTTAAATAATTAGTTTCTACAATTTGTTAATAATGATTCCGAGAAAGTTTGTTTTTGCTAATTATAACACATGAAATAGATTTAACAAACAAAGTAATAGACTAAATTAAGTTCCCAAATAGCGATACTATTCATCAATATAACAAAAAAGAAATATTATAAAAAACAACATAAGAAAAAATAGTAAAATTAATAGGTGCAGCAATAAAATCATGATTCATCTTACTGTATCAGTAGGCGATATCATTTTTTCCTAATGCAGGATTTGAACTAGTTTCGTTTAACAAAGGCAATTTTCATTGGAAAGAATACCTTCGACTATTTTGTGTTTATAATAAAATAATTGCTCATATTATTCTATGATTTAAATCGATTCATTAATTGGACTTAGTCGAAATTGACTCATCAATATCACGATTACTATTGAATGGATTTTTGTGAAGAATCACTTAACCTTTGCCTTGATACTATTAACTATGATATCTCATAGAATGAAACTTGTTCTAAATGATTGTATTCAATCGATGAATATCGGAAACTTGTCAACTTTAACTAAATCAAATAAATTCCATTTCGTATAGTTCAATATTTCGATATTTATATTTTCCTGATCTAGTAACATCTACTATGACTTGTAAGCAAAAAGATAATTATCCAGCTCGAAATATTTTCGTAAAAATAAAATGATTATCATAAATCAATAAATCTATTGCATCTCTACTAGAAAGTATATTACTTTTTTTGTACTGATAAAAGACGTTATTCATTGTAATATGATTAATATTCGCTGTTTTTTTTTGTCAAAATATGCTCTTTATAATTGAAAATAGAAGGTAATACAAAAAATTATCGTATGACTATTTTATTAGTTAATTAATCTTAAAATATAATCTCTAATTTAAACAGTTAAATTGACTCTTTGCTTTTATTTAATACGAGAAAAACGATCTATGGTTGATATTATTTTGACAAAGGATGTAGCCTCTCATCATTTTTCAAGTTGATATTGACATAGGTGCTTTTTCTTAAAGTCACTTTCTATATTGAATGAATTTGATTGACCACTTGTCAATTCCATTTAGTGTCTCAACAAGATTCAAACTCGAAATTGATCTTACTTTTCAAAGTTTTTGTTTTATGTGTTTTTATACATATGACACTTCCTTTTATATCCTTGAGCTATGGTGATTAACAAAAACATCGATCGGGTATAATCAAAGAGAAACGCATTACATTTATGAGACTATCGATTGCCTATGTACATGAATATGAAAAGAGAAGAGAGTCGACGCGAGAGGAGGAGCATAGATGGGAGGTCAATTAGGAAAGACTAACATCGACACATAGGAGGTCTTACTGATTAGCCTTTTGATCATCGATATATTGTTTTTAGGAACATAAAAAAAGCAGGTGGCGTCAGCCCAATCGACTGTGCAGCAGGTGAAGAAGCGTGTCGCTGATCTATCTATAATATATCTTCAATCTAATGGGTCAAATGAGAGTCGATTAATCGAGCATGCTGTGACACACTAATCAAAGTGAAGAAGATCCTCCTACTCTAAAAGCATCGTTAACTTAAATAGAGATACACAAACGACAACTGTATTTTACTCTTTTCTTTTTCTATCAATGCACATAGAACAAGCGAGAGCCAATAATCGATTGTGTCATCTAATATGAAGTCAATCTGTTTTTTTTCTAATGTCCTATTGACCGAATATGAGATACCCAAAGAAGAGAAAAAAAAGAATTGAAATGATTGATAAAAATTTCCCATTGGATCTCGTATTGTATTACAACATAGTGTCTAATCGATTAGTGAATTAAGTTCAATGACTTGTTAGCTTTTTATTTATTTTTATTTTTGTTCTTTGTTGTATTTTGATTTCTCTAAAGGCGTTATGAATTCGTAATTGACACTTTCGTGTCTATTCCCTTGATGAGAGAATTGGCAAGGTGTACTAAACTATGTTTGTGATCATACAGATCAAACAACAAGCAATGCACATTCTCAAGTGGTTTCTCTTTCTTTCTCTCTCTCTCCCTATCGTTTCCTTTCGTTCTTTTTATTCAATCAGATGTATATGTATGCTAACGTAAATGACTTTTTGATGATCCATCTATAGTTCTTTGTCCTACATACAAAATGATGACAAACTTTATTCTACTCATATTTTTAATTGTGTATTATATACAATATAAGAATCAATCACTATATCGTTATTGATCGGACTATCGTCATCATATTAAATGAAAAGAATAGCGAATAAGACATATTCAAGGTATATACTAATCGAGACAATATTGTGTACATATTATATACATACATACATACATATATATATATAACCTCTTAAAAGAAATGAATGAATAAATACATTTAATGCATTTTTTTCTGTTACATAATTTAAAAATCATGATTTGTCTCATACGAAAAATGTTCATATTCATTTAAAAACAAGAATTAGAATTTTTCCTTGTTTCATCAATATATTTTATATTTACAAAAAATGAAAAGAAATCCATACAAAGCAACAACACAAAAAAAGAATCGAAAACTTTACAAAGCAAATCAAGAGAAAAAGAGCCTCGCCATTTTACTGTAAAATGTTATTAATAATTAATTTAAAGTTTTCCTACTGATGTAGGTGAATAGTAAGACGAGAAAATAGATGTTGGATATGAAGATTTCATTGACGATGATAATGATGTATGTGCTGTACAAAGATGTTCAAGTAGATTCATATGATTTGCAAAACGTTTTCCACAAAATCCATCAGAACTATTGGATTCCATCCAATTGCAAACAAATGCTGGTTGTGGTGATGGATTTAATGGTGCTAAGATCGAATCCATAAAATAAGGAGATCGTTGAGATGATATTGATGATGGTGTGAAAGCTGAACTTGATGAGGGTCCAAATGATGTTGTGGAAAAGAATGGTGATGCATTAAATGTTTTACTTAAATGATGAAGAAGAAGTGAATCAAACATAAATGGTGATGGAGGCAAATAAAATGATTGCTGATTAGTTGAAGGTAATGATGATGATGATGAAGATGATGATGATGATGACGATGATGTTGTTGTTGAAGGTATTGCCATTTTTTTTGCTGGTGATGGCGATATTGATGAAGTTGAAGGTGCACTACGTTTTAAAGATTTTTTTCCTTCAGATGGTGAATTTGATTTTCGTTGTTTTGATGTCATTGCATATGTTGATGTTGATATTGATGATGCCGATGATGATGAAAGTTCTTTACCAATATTATTACATGCTTGAGCCATTAATACTAACGGATTTTCTTTTTTTGGTGAATATTGGTCAATCTATATTTCAATTAAATTTTAAAATAAGTTTAAAACTAATTCAAAAAGAAATCAAGTAAGAGGTTTTTACCGTTGGATTGATGTATTCACCGTAGAGTTGTTGCTTCTTCATTGATGTTGTCATTGAGTCAAGTGTGTAGATATGTTTAAAGAGTAAATGCAAATGATGAGTGATTGAAGGTGGAGAAGAATATCGTACACAGGCGCGCGTTCGATCGATCATAAATCACTATGTTTTTCTTTATTCTATAGATCAGAGAGAAAAGAGAAACGAGAAACGAAGAAAAAAAAAGAAAAAGAAAAAGAAACGATTTATATATAGTCATTGGTTGAGAACGACACACGTCGATTTTCTTTTTGGCCAATGTCGATTTGGATGATGAATATTAATAGAGCTAGATTTCTCTTTTTCTTTTCTTTTCTTTTTCTGTTTTGCATTCTTGTTTTTGATTGACAAGTGTCTGCTGATGAAGTATTCGAAATGAGTGAAACTTTTAGTTTCAATGATTGATTATTTTACTTATCAATTTTCTCGTTTTATTGTAATGGAATTTGATCAATAGTCATTTATTTTGTTTTCTATCAGCTGTGAGTTTTTATTTCTCGAACAGTTTGATCGATTGAGTAAATGTGGGCAGTCTCATCTGTCTTTAGTGAACATATAATGATATCGTTTTCGCATCTCTTTCATCTTTCTTTATGAATCGCTCGGCGAAACAAAAAAATCATAAATCTCGAATTAAGTGCCTTTCGTTGTCAGACATCGATCATTCAATGTATATATGTGATGTATGTACACATATATACAAGAGAGTCCTCGCACTTGTTCTTACATGACACAAACATAGCCGACATGGACAAACTTCTTCGATACATTTATTGTCTATTAGAAGAGTCGGCATAAAAAAAAAAGAAGAAGAAAAAGAAAATTACTTTAGACGTGCGAGAAAGAACATAATTTGAACAGATCAAAGAAATGAAGTTTGTCTTGTCCAAGATTAATGATACGCATATTGTGTGTGAATTGACATAAATATACACACGTAGGGAGTCGATCATATCGAAGAAATATTTTATCAGAACTGAGTATAGAGATGAACATCATATCAAACACTGCATGACACTAAGTGCTACTAAAAAGAGTGATCCATGATAAAACATCAAAAGAATCTAGATTTCGATTTATTTTGTTGTCAGCCAATTAATTACATCACATGCCAAATATTTCAAAGAGAAGAAAAACAGATCAGCATATCATTTTATTGTTTATCATAATCAAATATGTATACATTCATATATGAAGATTAGAAAAGAAAACCGGTTAATTTAGTTGTTCCATGTAAAAATTCGAAGATATCTCACTTTTATTTACGTATTACATAAGGTTGATTTTTATCTTTTCAAGTCATAATAACTTTAAGAAATTCAGAATCCTTTTTATGTTTCTTTGATATACAAGGGAAAATGTCTATACTGGCATTCATGACTTACAAAGACTCAATATTTTTTTTTCTTCACTTAATATTTTTGTTAAAAATGAATGCATTGAAACTGAAACGACAGATGACTAATTGATAAATATGAAATTATTTGAAACGAACACAAAATGCGGCTGTGGACGTTGTATACTTTCTTTTAAAAGTATCATCAAAGTTGTGTATAATATTCTCTTACTTCAGCAATGATGATTAATGAGTAAACTTCATGGTATACATATATACGTACGTGTATAGACGGCTCGATTTCACCGATAGAAGTTTTTTCTTCAAACAGAATAAATGATATTTGTAGTGAAACTTTGAAACATCAAAACTTCTGTCGTACACATTAACGGTTACAGCACTGTGTCAGCTTAACGAGGCGTGCGTAATTTGATGAAGTGCATATTTTCATGTTGCTTGTTACTGGTTAAGTGAGGACTAAGCATTGTATCGACAGAGATCGCTTAGAAATCATTCGGAACAAGGAAGTTGTGAAAGTAAAATCCATATTTTGTTTTCTTTCTAATAGTCTTGCTTTAAACCATCGAAAGTCTTCGTTTATTTTATTTTCGAATTAGTCAAAGCAAGAAATACAGAATTTCAAGCTTGATCGATTTGTAAATAGTTTTAGAGTTACGGAACACCGACAATAAATTAGACAATTAAGTATTTCGACTGATATGTAACTTAATAAGAATCCAATCTAGTCTACCTTTTACGGGCACTGAAAAAATAAAGAAAGGCATAGTGGAAGAGAAAGTTAACCCTACACGTTCATTTAGAAAATAATGCTCACTTCAAGTATAAACGTTAAAAATCAATCATATTATAGTTCTTATTTTTACCGTAATTCAACCAATTTTTCTCTTTCATATAATGGCAAGTTGAAGCAAGGAAAATTTTGCGTAAACAGACTTCAGTATTACTCTTATAACTTTGTTTTGAATGAATTATTCAAATACCCGAGTCTCTTTTTATCATTTTAGAGTATAATAACTTTTATCAATATTTTTGGGCATTATCGATGGTCACATTTAGTTTAGTTATATTATTTTGAATGTACTGCATTTATTATTACTTTGCAAAAGTTACAGTTGTTATCATTGAACATAATATGCGATGTGGAAGTTTTTGAATATATGTCGAGTATTATGTTTTTAACTGGTAGCAGTTCTGAAGAGTAGAACAGATCAATACAATTTTGATTCTTTCTGTTAATTTATTGCGATATTATCTCTGTCAAAGTTTTAAATAATCATTGCTACAAATGGATCTTGGCGAACTTTATCATATTATTTATGTTATGTAGAGTTTGATTTTAGTAATGGAGCTGACTAGAAAATTGTCATGTCTTACGTTAGCATTTTCATTCAGCAGAACTACTAGTTTGGTAAAAAATGATGAGTTGGGAGAAATTTCGAATGGTGAATGAAATTTTGTTTGAAAAAAAAATTAGATATTAGGCTTTTAGCTTTATCTAACAGTGTATTTTTATCATGCTTAGTAGCTTCTAGAGTACTACTAAGTGTTAAATAAATACCTAAAGTTTTTCGAAAGCTTTATTGATAGTAATCGAAATCATTCAATCGCACACAAAAAAAAATTAACTCGAAAAACAATTTTACCTTTGTCTATTCGTTCGAGACTTTATGCTTTTTCATAAAGAACGAAATAGTTGAAACCTATCAAATAATGAATCATGAAAAATAAATCACGACTTTTTTCAAAACGAATCTTGAATCGTATATCAATAATAATTTAATTCCAATCAAGAGAGATATTTTGCATGGAATTGATTTGATTCACTATTTGATTTGAAAAAAAGAATTTATTACATGTTTGTTTTTCTATTTCACTGCGGTGTCAACATTTTTGACATATTATATCACTCTACAGAAGGAATTTCTCACGATAAGTAAAAAAAACAAATCTTTACAAAATTCGAAGCAAAATAATGAATAAGAAACGGAAAAAACTAAATAGCTCGTACGGAAATTAAATCCAGGTCACATTATCCAGGGCCTTAGTCCTTCTACTGTTTACGAAGTATTCTTCGCTTTTATTTCTCGCATATTCTTCTGCGCTCTCGTCAACTATAAATCGTATCAAGGGAACATTGATATATAATATCAACATTTACTATTAGAACATTTTTTAACTGATACATATATCTTTAGCTTTATTGAGAATTTTCTCATGATATTTATCTCTATATGCGATAAGAAAAAAACAGAAAATAATAAAGAAACACATATATTCTTTAAAATGTTTTGATACTGATATTACAATACAAAATAACACCATTAAAAATAGTTACAAAGCTGAGCATTTCGAGATTCAAACTGATCTATTTTGAGTCATTGACCGACGTAGTATCTTTTATGAGCAACGTCAAAAAGTTGTTACGAAACTTTTATCTAATGTAAGAATAACATGTATTTCTTTGAAGAAAAATAGCACAATATTCCTTTATGTTCAAAAAATCTCTCATCTTCGTTTTATATATTAACTTTTGCAAATTTGACAGTGAATGTGGTGATATTTTCTCGCATCCAGCAAAGTCAATGATAGATAATTGATAGAAACAAAGCAATATTGATTGTAAATAATTCAAGACAATATTGTCATCTTGATCTCTACAGTGGGGTTGACAAGAAGATAAGTTGAATTTCTAGATATATATTCAGTTCGATTCATTATAATTTGGTTGTGTGTGCGACAGTCGGGAAAGGGAAAGTAAACGCACATCCATACATTCGATCAGATCGAATAGAAAAATGTTCAGTGGTTGAGGAGATAGACGAAGAAAAAAAGAATAATAAACATTGGTTATTCTTGTTGGGAAGATTTTTCAAAATGTTTTGTGGAGAATTCGAAACACTCCTGCGAAATTTAAGCAAACACTTGTTTCGCTGTAACTGTTCCTTTCATTAAATTAAGGCAATGAAAGGAAAAGAAAAAGATAGAGCGGCTTGTTCTAATGCAACGAAATGAAATTGTTTGGAGGTCGAATAATTATTGAAAACGATTGATATAAAATATATCGCGTAGATAAAGAATTTTTATTCATCATAAATAGGACATTATACTTGTCTCTTGATGATATTGATTTTAGAAAATTAAGCGATTTACTCAATCAATTGCTAACACAGAAACAGAGATGGGCAAGTCAAGTCAAAAAATGACTTCATCGGATGATTTTTTGAATGAATTATGACTCAACTTGACTTGACTTGAAAACGTCTGACTTGCTCATCTCTGCACAGAAATATATAGATTTTTGTCGTAAAATTCGACTTGATTGACTATTCTCTGAATAAATTATGTGAGCAAGAACACAACAATTGGAGATTAGGTGTCTGCGGTCATGTACCTAATACGTATTTCAGACAATGTTATAAATATAAAAGTACAAGAACTCTTCGGTGTGGTACGATTTTCTCTCAATCGAAGCTTTTAATTCGTGAAATCTTGGATAGCATGTCCGTTTGCTCACAAGAACTCGATGTAAGAAAAAAATGGGTTTCTGGTCATATCAACAAAGATATTCGTATGCATTGCACAATTTTATTTGAATTTCGCAACGTTGGTGCTCTGCTGCCATTTTTGATTCAAAGCATTCGCCATGATACTACTATCTGTA